CATTAATAGGAGCTCAACGATATAAAGACACTCGAAAACGGACGTCGGATGACAAAGTTATGAATTTTTAACGGACTTTAACTGTCTAAGCCTGTTAAAATATAACTTTAAAAATAAATTCAAAATTATCCGACGGAGTCTAAATGAAAGTTGTAGATCACGTCGATAGCTACGCGTGGATATAAAGAATGTCAAAAACGGAGCTCGTATGCGAAAGTTACGGATTTAGAAGATAATTAATTTTCGGATTAGCCTCGGAGTGACACGTGGCATGATCTAGACCACACCTTCTTCCCCATGGCTTTCCACAAGATCGTGACACGTAGCATGAGTATGCCCAATGTAGCTTTCGTATGCCCAGCGTACTTAGCATTCCCAGCCCATAAATAGATGGCGAATTTCACTCAAATCTTCACACCGCTTCATCCAATTTTCTTCCCCACCCCCAAGCCTCTAAGCTTTTCTATAGCACTTCCTAGGTGTTAGAAGTCAAGCTCCGGTACACCGGAAAGCCCCGAGAAGTAGAGATTTCGGCTTAAAAGTTCTGCTCGAGCAGAGTCCGGTTTCTCGCTAAACCACCTGTAAGTTGAGTTATGCTTACTGTACTTTAAGTAGAACTTATGTTTGAGTTCATTATCATTATTATGAACCTATAAACAAGATTTATCAGTGATTCCAAGTCGTTATACTGATTGATCTACTTACGTGGATGATGTCTAGGCTAGATTTAGTGAGGTGTTTAAAGTGTGATTTCCAAACAATATACTTTGTATACTAAACGGACCCTACATTCGATATGAACCTACCTGGTTGTTCCTTACTTGATAGATCTTGAAGTAGACTTTGATTTAATGATGAATCTAGATTAATAATTAGTTGCAATAAATATTAGACTAAGACTTAGTGATAATGACACTAGGTTACGTCCAAGGAAAAGACAGTTGCTAAAAGCGAAGCGCTGCCCGAATTTCGAGTCGTCACTTTAACAAGTGAGTGCATAGTTACTTTCATCTTACACATAGATATGAAGTATTTAATATTAATACATGCTATATGTGCTTATTATCTGTGTTCCTAATATCTATGCTAAATGAACGATGTATACATGTTTTACTTGACTTAAACTGTATATGTATTTTTATACCTATAAATATATTGGGTAAAGATGGGTAGATAAAAGATGATATGGATGATGAGATAATAAAGATGATATAGATGATGAGAGGTGAAAGATGATGAGAAGCCTTGACTTTAAAGCTGATCCGATCATCTATCAGAGTATAGATGACAACCACGGACGATTCTAGATGTAACATCCTGACTCCCAGGTATAAAATTTAATGCTTTATATTCATATTTTTTTAGACCTACTCGACGAGTTGGCTGCCCCAACTCGTCGTGTAGAAACTGATCAGGCCGCGTGAACTTTAAGACCTACTTGACGAGTTGGAGGACCCAACTCGACGAGTTGAGGTTGTGCTTGGAAACCCTAATTTTTAGGGTCTGCACCCTATTTAAAGGACCTTAAGTCCTCCCTCCAGCCTCCCTTACCACCTTCACGTCCAGAAACAAGCCCTAATCGAGCTAACCTTCTATTTTGAGTGTGTGAGGCTAAAGAGTGTGTGTTTGGTGCATTTCTTGAAAAGACTTGAAGATTGAGAAGCTTGGAACGAGAAGGAGCTTGTAGATCCAGTATCTAATTCGTTTTCGCATTCATTTGAAGGTAAAAAGTCATTACCTTGATCATTTTCTTGTTAGATCTCTCCATTCAATAGTTTAGGGTCATTTCTAGCTTATTCTTGAGGCATTTCTAGTATTGAGCACGTTTTGAAGTGAGGAGTTCAGATCTGGACTCCTCTAGGCCCTCATGGACATAAAGTTCTCGACTTTATCAAGCTTTGGCCCTTCTCCATGCCGTAAACCTCTTATTAAGCTTAGTTTTAGTGTTTTAATCCGTTTGAAGCCTTGCATGCACGTAAAGTTAGCAACTTTACGTGGTATCTCAGTCCTAAGAGGCTAGATCTGTAGTTTGGGGCCTAAGAGTCGACTGGAAAGGGCTGAACACGATAAGACAGGAAGAAATCGACGAGTTGGATAGGGTTTACCCGCCTTCTGGATTCTGAGTGAACTCGACGAGTGTGTGAGATGACTCGGCGAGTTGATTAGGGTTTTCCCGGTCTTCTGGACACTGAAGAACTCGACGAATTACTACGGTAACTCGGCGAGTTGACTCGAGTTTTCAGTTTCTGAGTTCTGAAGGAACTCGACGATTCAGTAGATGAACTTGACGATTTTGGTCAACATTGACTGTTGACCTTGATCGTTGACTTTGACTTTGACCAAGGGTTAACCAAGTTTGACTTCTGAGGGTATTTTGGTAATTTGGGATTATGATGGAATCAGACATATGGTGGTTACAGGCAGTTGAATTTGGAGCTGTGAGTTGGGATTCGATTTATCGGTTCAACACTACTTGTAAGGTGAGTTTTCCTCACTATACTCAAGGGTCGAAGGCACCAAGGCCGGCCCTTTAGATTGTTATCTTGCTTTATTATTAGTGAGATATGTTATATCAGTATCCTGGTAGATAGGATGTTATATGTGGTTATGATCGGTTAGATCTGTATCCTGGTAGATAGGATGTTGTTATGATTAGTGATCTGTAGATCGGTTTGACTGTCTGTAGACTTTGATGTGATTATCTTATATATGTGCACATGATTGATTGGTGGTTGAGGTTTTTCTGCTTTGTGCGAGAGCCAACAGACCGGGGCATTCCAACCCGATGGTTGTGGGCCGAGAGTATTCCATCCTGAGGATGATTGGACTCATAGTATGTGGGCATTCCAACCCGATGGTTGTGGGCCGAGGGTATACTATCCCGGGGATGATTGGACTCATAGAATGTTGGCATTCCAACCCGATGGTTGAGGGCCTGGGGCATTCCAACCCGATGGTTGATTGGGCCTATAGTATGATGTTATTATATGTGTGTTATTTGTTGTGCGGGTATTTTGGGGGAACTCACTAAGCTCCGGGATGATCTATGGAAGGCGAAGGCTTGATCGTGCACCTCCTCACGTTTTATGATTTTGATTTCCGGGATACTCTGATATGAAACTATTTTGAAAATATTTTGTAATATTTAATGGTTTTTTTTAATGCTTGAAAAAGTTTAAAATTTTCATGAAATGTATGGATGTTACACTAGACAGTCCTGTGGAACGCTAGCAGACTCGCAACCTGTAGGTGTTTTTGAACTACGTGTTCACCATATGTGCTCTAAAAACCCTGGCAACTATGGACATAGTGTCTTATAAATGAACATTGACAGCTATGGACTTAGTGCCCAATAGATAACATTGCCAGTTGTGCCTAATAGATAATATCGGTAGCTATGGACTTAGTGTATAATAGATAACATTGGCAGCTGTGACTAATAGATAACATCGACAGCTATAGACTTAGTGTCTAATAGATAACATTGGCAGTTACGCCTAATAGATAACATCGACAACTATGGACTTAGTGCCTAATAAATAACATTGGCAGTTGTGCCTAATAGATAACATCAGCATCTATGGACTTAGTGTTTGTTAGATAAACCATGGCAGCGATGGACTTCGTACCTATTCCTTAGGACAATCCTTAGGAATGAATAAATGAAGAATAGATGATTATTAGGGAAGATCCATAAGAATAAAGAAAATAATGGGATGATAAATTGGGTTAATTGTTTGATGATTAAACATAAAATTTATATTATTGTGGGTTGAAAACCCTATGTACTCACCAGGTTTCCCAACCTGACTCACTCAGTTTATTATATCACAGGTAGCAATATTAAAGATACATTCTGCTGAGAGATTCAAGGAGTATTAGCAGCTGGTTTAATTACTGTAAGGTTTGTAAGATTTCGTTATGCTTATGTTTCTGTATTGACGATGACATCCCAATATTTTAATATAAATAAAATACATTTATTCGGAAATTCTTTGATAATATCATTATCGTGTTTTCTGCGAACAAATTCCGCAATATTATTTTTCAAAAAGAATACTCTGATTTTTAAGTAAGCGTAAACAAATCGGTCTTATTTAGGTGTGACATTGGGATTGTCACTATATATATATATATATATATATATATATATATATATATATATATATATAAAAGAAAAAAATCGTAAATAGTGTTTTAAAAAATTCTATAAAAAAGTTGTAAAATTTTTAAAAACATGTTTTAAAAATTTATAAAAAATCTATAGTACCTAATAAATAAAAATCTTTAAAAATCTTTAAGTATCGAATACCACATTTTTAAAGTATGATTCTAATGATTCCATATGGTATCCTTAAAAATCCATTCACATTTAATATTAAAAAAAATATAAATACTAATATTCATATTTTGAATTTTAAAGCCAAATCAAGATTTAAAATTTGAAATTATTAATTATTACTTTTTACATAATTTATCTCTTATAAATAAATATAATATTAGGGTTCCTTTTATCTCAAATGTGGTCCATCTTTAACTAAAAATATTCATATATTTCGAACTACTAACTTCAATATTGAATTATTGATAATTTATTACAATTTGAAAACAAAATTCTATACAAATCATATAACAAAAATTATTGAACTAATTAATTATTTTTTAAATTTATAGGATGTATATTTATTTGTTTTATCATAAGATAATAACCTTTTTATCTAAGATTATATTATGTTATAATAATCTTAATCATCTTCTATTAAAAAGTAAAAAAAATAACAAAATAAAATTATGAATTATTCAAGTTTCATTTATTAAAATAATATTAGATTTTTATAGTTTTCTTATTTTATCAATTTATTTTCATTATCTATCTAATAAAGTCCTATTAAATTTATAAATTAAAACTAAAATTTGATATGAATTCAAAATAAAATATAAAATTCGAACTAAGAAATTTTAAAATCTAAACATAAAGGATAGAAACTGAAAAGAATGTTCCATGTTCAAAAAACTAAGTTGACCACCTTTACCAAAACACGTCCAAATTTACTACATTATCTTATTTAATATCAAACACGCCGATACCGATTTGTTTGCACTTTGCGGAAACCCAATTACAATTACACTGATTCAGAAAGCTAATTCGCATTTCAAGAAATGGAAAACCTCTGTTTTCTTGACGATGAACCAGAGGACTTGGTTTGTGAACTTCCAGATGTCACGGTGCTCTTGCTCTCCCCGTGACTCCTCCTCTGCCCCATCCCCACCACCCAAAATCTATCCAGGATCCGCCGTGAACGGGACGGCACCAGCTGCCGGATACCGCCGCGGCTCATCACCTGCTTCTCTAAATCACCGTCGTCGTTCATCTTCATCCGTGAAGGTGTTCTCAGAGATTTCGAGCGTAGAGGCACTTTAATTTCCCAGTTCTGTTCAACCGGTTCCTGTTTGGTAAGAGCTGCAAGTTTGACGGCGGAAGTCACTCGAGCCTGCTCGTGGAACAGGATTTGCACCACCATCCGCAGCGGAAGCCGGTCGTTTTGTGCTGCGTGGGAGGATGCCTTTGACGTTAACTTTTTGACGTCAATCAACTCACAAACCTTTTTCTTTTCTTCTTTGATCAAACTTGGGTGCTCCTTCAAGTAACTGTCAATGGCGCCGTACAGTCCGTCGTGAACTGGTCTTGCGGAGTCAGGGATTGATCGTGATAACGTCATGAAAGCAGAGAGCGTCAGGTTTTTATCACGACCGACTTCTGCAAGGTACCCATCGATCAGACGGCCGACGGTGGTGCAGCGTCGAGGGTTTACCAAAACCAAATCGTTCGTTTCCTCTTCTTCGTCAACACTCTTCGTCTTCAAAAACCGATCAACAAGGAACTGCACAAGCTCAACGTTGTAGACCGTGGTTTGAGGATGCTCGGCCGGAATCAACAGATCATGAACAGATGCTTCATCGAGCATCAAACTAACATTTCTGATCAAATCGTCACGTATCAATGGATCAACTCCGACGAGAATCGAGACCTTAAGTAGTTTCAGTAAGAAACTGCATGAACAATCGACTCCTTTATCCAGAGTTAGTAAGAAAATCATTGATTCAACCAGTGATTTGTACTTTTCAACATGAGCGTCATCAGATTCGAAAGGGTCATTACAGTCCGGCAACCACATCAGGCAATACGTCTTCAGCGCCTCTCCGATAACGTCGCCTTCCACTTTTCCCTTTGATATAACAGCCAGCATCACGCGTTTATAGACATCGATGTCCAGTTCACACAGATCTTCAGCCCACCAATCCTTCGGTACAGAACCAACCTCGGCGACTCTGTTCGTTGCAGCGAGTTTACGATTGTAAGTATAAGACCAGTTAACATACGAAGGATCAATAGCTGTTTTTGATGCAATGGACTCGATACACCTCGTCGTGATCTCTATATCTTCCGACCATTGTTGAAGAGCCGTGGTGGTTTGCAGCACAATGATGGAGTCTTTCCAGCTACGGAGAACGCTCGATTTGAGAAACACCTCGATTTTGAATATTAAGTTTCCTTTATCTATATCCTCCGTCATCTCGAGGTACTCCGCCGCGCAACGGGCGGCGACGACGTTGTAAGGACTGAGAGAAACCGTCGTTCCATAGCAGAACTTTGCACAGATCTCGAAAGCTTTAGGTCCACCAGGAAAATCGACAAGATGAACGACGTCGGAATCCTCTTCGCTTGCGCTCAATGCCAGCTTTTGCAATCGATTGCTCTTCGACAAAAGCGGAAACTACAACAGAAACAGAAACTGAAAAGCTTGACAGTAGGGCTCATTCAACATGTCTATTAAAATACAAGAAAAAATTCAACGCTGAAGTCAATGGTGTCATAATTATTACCTTGTGAAGATAAAATTTTACTTCATCAACTGTGACGGTGAAATCCGTCTCCAGTTCAGATGAAACACACCTGAAACCGTAAACAAATTAACGCATTGTCCTCAATCTAATCTAAGAAGAGACATAGAAGAAGGAGAATGAGGTATTATTGATACCTGATGGAGTTGGATTCATGATCGGCTTGAAATGTATCGGGCTTTGAACCTAGCTTCATGAACTTCATCTTCTTTGGGTGAAATTGGGGGAGTAAGTGCGTGGTGGTGGTGGTTAAAGGGGGTGGTGGAAAGGCGTAGTAATGATCTCATTGATGATGCCATTATGCCTGACAGAATTATCCAACCACCCATCCACGACAACGCGCCGCCGTCCTCTGTCCTACTCTCTGCACCTATGATATTTTATTTACTTGTCTCCTACTTTTCGTACCATCATTCATTAACGTTTTAGAATTAACGTTTTGGAGCATCTCCATCCCCGTTAAATGGAACATGAATTTCTCACGCCAGTTTCAGGTTAAATTTCACGGTACATCTGTTATAAATTTATGCACCGATTCATTCTCATTTCATGTATTTTATGGTTATTTAGGGCATATTAGGGTTGGCTTATATTTGGATAAGAGTATATATATGCATTATATAGTATATTTTAATGAGGTGACATGATTGGTATTCAATGAAATAATGGTCTTGGATCTTTTAATAAGATTTTTTTAATTGATTTTTTTTTCTAAATATGTCTTAGAGCATCCAAATGCAATATTTTATTTTGAAAAAAACTATGAAAAGCTTTTCTTAGATTGTGTTTGACTTGTCAACTAGCTTATAAATTAGTTTATTTTTCTAAGTTTTTTAAGATTATCATGTTTGTCAAACTAAAAAATAGCTTATAAGCTAGATTTTTATAAAACTATTTAGATTAGCTTTTTAGGAGGTTTTTAAATTTTTTCCAAATATATCTCTTAATTAATTATAAAAATACATTCTTATAAATATCTTTTTATGTCATTTTATATTTTCAATTAGTTTTACTAAACACTATTTTTTATCAGCTAGTTTTTCAACATTTGCTAGCTTTTTATTTAACAGTTAGCTTTTCAGTTAACAATTAACTTTTCAACTAGTATGTCAAACATACTTTTATAATATGAGATTTTTCATTCAAAAAAATTTCAAAGAAACTTGTTAATTAACAATAGTATGTCAAACATACTTTTATAATATGAGATTTTTCATTCAAAAAAATTTCAAAGAAACTTGTTAATTAACAATTTTTTTCATAGAGCTTTTCCAATAAACTAAAAAGAAATAATAATATAAATAGGTTTAATATAACACATATGAAAAAAGCATTCCAATTTTGGACAGGTCATGACGATTACATGAAATGATTTTTTTTCTTTTTCTTTTTGTGAAAAAACATTTCTCTTGTGGATACTAATTATTTTTTTCATGAAAAAACTGGTAGAGTTGTATGAATAATAGATAGAAGATGTGACAATTCATTAAACTCAAAATTGTTCATTACATTGTGGAAGCCTTCAACAATATGACACAATTTCCGAACCCAACATATAATGGTACCGACCCTATTCAAACTTCACTAATTGATTTGGTCTTTCGCTTTACATTTGGTATTAGGTCCAACATTTTACCATGGTATGCAAAAGACAACTTCCATTCCCAATACCAATTTCTTGGAAATAAAAAAAAAAAAAAAATTCACCCCTAAACTTCTCCATAATAAAAAAAACCACAATTCCAAAACTGAAGGTATTTATGGTTTATTAATGGTTGTATTTAATATTAGTATTTTGGGTGTACATTTGGCTCTACAACTTGTACTCTAACCATTTGGTCTAGTATTGCAAAAATCGGAATACGCGGGCGATTAATCGAAATTGGGTAGGGGCCGAGGCGCCTAACTAGGAATCAGCCAAAAAAACTCGAAATCGGTCAAAATCGATAAAAATCCCTAAAATCAATCAAAATCAGAATCGGTAAAAATCGGAAAAACTCGGAAATTTCTAACTTTTTTAGAAAACCTATAATTGTTATTAATATTTATCTATTTTGTTATAATTTTTAATAAACTTGTTATATTTGTTATATATATTAGGTTATAACCTTTAAAATCCACGGTTTAACAACTTAAAATAGCTAAAATAATACATAGTATAATAATTGATTTGTTAAAAAAATAAACAAAAAAATTTAAATCTATAAATATAAATAAAAAATAAAAAATAAAAAAAAGGAATAATATTTACTTATTTAGATTGTAAATTAACATTTTAATGAGAGATCAAATTATCGATCATTAAAATTTGATATACTCTAGATAACAACCACAATCATGCATGGTAGTACCCTTAATGTTTTTCTAAAATTGCTAAAACATAAGGTAATCCAACAAAGCTACATGTACATACTTTCCAAATCAGTCCAACTATTTGTTTTCCAAATTGGTTACAACTCAAATGTTATCTACACTGCACAATAGTTCATGCACAATAAATCACATCCACTGCACAAATTCCCGCTTTCAAAAGTAGTTAATAAAAACCTCAAACTTTTTCTAGTAAAATTTAAAGTCCTCTAGGAACATTGAAGCACAACCAAGATTTATCATCCTTTATAACTCATAGTTCATGAAATTTCTATGATTGCATAACCTTTTTAGAGTACAATGTTGCATGTAACAAGACAAAATAAAAGTAGGATGCTAAATATTAGAAAGAAGCATGTTATTGTTGATTTAAAATAACAATCGAATGTTACTTTTACCTGAAAAGTGAAAGTAGCTTGCTATTTGTGGCTTAGAAATGAATGTATCATACATTATTGGCTTGAAAATGAAAGTACAATGCACTCTTTTTACCTTAAAAATGAAAGTAGCATGATATTTTTATCCTAAAAATAAAAGGAACTCTTATTGTTCATTTAAAAATAAAAGTAGAATGCTACTTTTCATTAAAAAAGAAAGTAACGTGCTATTTTCACTTAAAAAAGAGAGCATTATATTATTTTTCCATAAAAATGAAAGTAGCATGCTATTGTTAACTTAATAATGAAAGCGCCATGCTATTTTTCCTTAAAAATAAAAGTAGGATGCCATTTTTGCCCTAAAAATGAGAGTAACATGCAATTTTGTCCCTAAAAATGAAAGCAGCGTGTTATTTTTGGTTTAAAAAGAAAAATAGAATGTCATTTTTGCTTAAATATGAAGGTAGCGTGTTAGAAATGAAAGTACCATGCTATTGTTGGCTTAAAAAAGAAAGTAACATGCTATTGTTGGCTTAAAATGAAAGTAACATGCTATTATTGGCTTAAAAATGAAAGTATCATGCTCTTTTTTACCTTAAAAATGAAAGTTGCATGCAACATGCCATTTTTTCTCTAAAACAATAAAAGTAGCATGTTATTCTTGGTTGAAAAATAAAGTATTTTTCCTTAAAAATGAAATCAACATCAGCACATAATTACACGATTGTGATAAATGTGATGTTAAAGAGATCAACACTGCACACACTTAAACTACTTCATGTAGCAAAGGAAACTTGAGGCTTATAGTGTATGTATAACATACACAACTTTTAAAGTGGAACGTTAATGAATCATAATCTATAACACATTTGGTAGGCAAGAAATAAAAAGGAAGTAATTAATAAAAATCTAACAGATCTTAAATTTTAATATATCAAAATACATATAATTAAATTTTTATTTCTATTTAAATCAATATACGTATAGTAAGGGTATTTTCAATCTTTTAATAAAAATAAAATATTAGAAGTGAACTCCTTCAATCATCCTCCAAAAATAATAAAGTAAAACACATGGAATTTAAAGTTTCTATAATCTGGAAACCAAACACACTCCAGCAAATGGCATCTTAACATGCAATTATGCAAAACAGATACGCCCCACGAGGCTTTTTGTTCAAAAAATGTTTTAGGAGGAAAAGAGCCTGAAAAAGTAATTAAAATATGAGGGAACTAAGATTTGGATGATAACAAAATTTGAATAATTTTTAAAAATTCACTTATAAATATTTTTTTATCCCAAAATCTATATCATTTGGGTACTTTGATTTTCTAATAAAAAAAGTATGATCGAAACCACATTCTTTCCATCCACCCTTAGTAATAGTAGAATCCATCAAAAATGAATTTGAATGATTCCATTGATATTAAATTTCGTCCATTTGCGACCAAATACGACATGAGAGGATATCTAAAATTCCAATTCCATTACATATTTTCAACCAAAAACACCCAATTATAATAATGAAAGTTGCTTTGTATAGCATTTTACTTTCATTCCTTTCTTTTGCAGCATCTCAAGGAAGAAAATAGTTGAAAGTGCAATGTAATAAAAAGAAATGAAAGTAGGATGCTATAATACGTAAATAAATGGAAGCACATTGTTGTATTTATTTGCATTTAGAATTATATTTTTATAGATATAGATATTAAAAGGATAGAGAAACCTCAATTGTCATCTAATATGAAGTTCTTTTGCAAGATTTTATGTCATTCAATTCGATTGGTTGTGTAAATAAATAATGTTACATTTAATAAACATAAAAAATAATCATTTAAAGGATAAAAAATGAGTTGCGGATACCTTTGCCAACCCAAAATCATCAAGCTTTGTGTTCAGACGTTAAAGAACATGTCACACCCCAAAACCGGAACGGCGGAAACGTTCTGGGGTGGAGGACGTCATGTACAGTATCATAACAATGCATAATAGTAAAGACAAGCAACAACATCCATTGCATTAACATAATAGTTTTAATACAAGTGTGTTATGTATAGTATGTAAGACACCAAAATGAATTATCAAAATAAAAGATGAGTCTTGTATGTGCTCATTCTTCTCAAAAGCTTCATCGGTACCTGTCTACTGATGACCTGAGAATACAAGTTATTTTGAAAGGGTTTATCAGCATAAAGCTGGTGAGTTCATAAGTTTTTAGTGTTATTGCTTGTATAAAAATGTTTGTAACAACGTAGTGTAAATGTAGTAATTGATTCCAAATGTTTGTAAATAGTGTACTCCCTAGAAAATCCTATATTTTCCAGTAAAATGTAGTCTTCTACCAAGACCCGACTGTTTGTATGTTTGTTCTTTTTTGCAACAGTAAGGGTTTTCCCCAGTGAAACTATCAGTATGAAAATATAGTTTTTAGATTTCACTCATGAAAGGTGATTACAAAATAAATGTATT